TAAGCAGAAAACAAAGACACACAGTGGCAGCAACCTTATGAATAATGTCAGGATGCAAAAATGTAATTTGTATTTATGGCTATCTGATAAACAATTAGCAGAGGGACTATGCTTTGCTTTCATCTGGAATTTTGGTTTTGAAGGAATCAGCTTGAATGAATGAATGTTTGTGCCTGTGACTACTAGCTGGAAGTGAAGAAATCATAAAACAAGTTAGCACGAGATTGATAAAATATTTATAGCATAAATGTGATAGTTTAGTACGGGATAAGAGCCAGGAGAAGTAGCAACAACAGCAGAGCCTTTTCCGTTTCAAAACCAGTCAGCAGGAATTTGTTTGCTATTTCCTTCTTACAGCACTTCCACATGAGAGATGTTGATAGTATGTAAGATTGTCATATTTTTACACTGTAAACATATGCAGCCCCAGTGTGAAACACATAACTTGTCTATTTCTGGAGAATCATAGAATCGTAAAACCATAGAAGGGTTTGGGTTGGAAGTAACCTTAAAGCTCATCTAGCTCCAACCCCCCGTCATGGGCAGGGACATCTTCTACCAAGACCAGGTTGGTCAAAGCCCGGTCCAACCTGGCCTTGAACTTTTCCAAGGAAGACACTTTGATTCCCGTTTATGCAGCTGATGATTTCTTCTGAGCTTGCAGATGCTTACACGAGAAACAGATGCTGCGAGGGAACACAAGTTTCACAAAACAAGTTAGCAGGAGATTGATAAAATATTTATAGCATAAATGTGGTAGTTTAGTACTGGATAAGAGCCAGGAGAAGTAATGACAACAGCAGAGCCTTTTCCGTTTCCAAACCAGTCAGCAGGAATTTGTTTGCTGTTTCCTTTTTATGGCACTTCCACATGAAAAATGTTGACAGTAAGTCAAGGCTTATAACAGGGCTAACAAGCAAGGCTGGGCATCTGGGTGACTACCAAACCCAGCCCCTCTTACAGGGGTGTTTCAGAGAGGAAAGCAGTGGAAGAAGAATTAGGGCAGGGAGGAACTATGCAATCATATCACAGTATGTATGAGTTTGTTCAGCATGGATTGATCAATGTGGTGGAAAAAGGCTGGGGTGACGAAGAGACTGGGCAGAAGGAAGAGGTGAGGGTGGGATGGGAATTATTGTTAAGATGCTGTTCACAACTTCCTCTTGTGCTGTATGGAGTTCCCTTTAGGTACAGGTTTGGATGAGGAGGAGCTGTGACAGGAAACATTCTTCTTCTGGGGGTTTTTGTTTGCTTGTGGTTTTTTCTCTTTCTTTTTCTCTCTCTCTTCCACCCCTCTATCACACCAGGCCCCTCCCTGCACAGTCTGAAATACAGATTCCCTCTTTAGTCTGTGATCCAAAGGCACAGGTTGGAAAATCAGGTTCTTTGTGTTTTGCATCATGCCTCAAAATAAGACTCAATAAAGTCACATGCTGAGTGAGTAACTAGAATTAGTGTCCTTAAGGTACCTTAATCATTCACCAGGTTATAACCTAAGTGCAGTCATTTTACCAGTAGCATGTAAGCTGATACACAGTGGCTGGAAGCCAGATTCCTCCTTTTGCACACCATCACAAGCAGATAAGGGAACTGACAGCTCCAAGGCATCTCAAGCAGGCATGAGACCTAGTTTATGGTTTCTGCACAAAATGAAGGAGTCCAGTGAAAACAGAAGCTGCATTTCTGGCCCAGCACATGGGAGAATCTCCTGAATGGGATGGGAGAAGGTGCTCAGTGTGTGAGCATGCAGCATTTGAAATCGAGTGTGGACAGGTTCTTTCCTGCATGTGGATATGACTCAACATTGAACTAGGAGCCACCCATGCTACTGATGTGACTATCAGTGTTTGCTGCCACGAGTGTTGCACATGAAGCCATGATATTTCTGAGTACTGACACTGCAGAAACCAAACACTTTTCTTTCCAAATGTACCTGATTTTCATGACTCTGCTGTTCTAGGAATAAAACATTCATATCTATGTCTCGAATAGGGAGCAGTGCTGTTTCTCTATAGCGAAACTGAGGCTTAGAGTCCCTGAGGCTACTCACAATAGTGTGCACTGGAGGAAGAGTGGAATTGCAACCGAAGCCTGACTGAAATCTACTTTTTCCTTCAAATAAAACTTAAAATGGAGCAATGTTTGCAACATACTTGTTCACTAAATTGTGATGGGAGCTGTCAAGTAGCATTGCAAGTGTTTCCACTTCACATGTACATGCAAAGCAGGTGGATTTTATCTTGTGCAGTGAAATCTTTGGATGAAATTTTGAAGGTAACAATTTCTGCCAGGATTACCAGGATTAACTCACAGAGTTTTACCTTACACTTGTATTTGTTTCGGATGACTCATCCTGTTTCCTTTCAGTATGTGAATTCATAGGAATTTATAGTTTAATGCACTCTAACTCAATGGATTAATCTCAATGGATTAGCTATATCATGGCTTAACTGTAATGCAGGCAGAAATTTTATAGCAGTGTTCATGTAGTGCTGTTTGTCCAGGCAGTTCAAATTCAGATATCCCTACATTGCACAGTTAACAAACTTCTTCCTTTTCTTCTTTTCCTGCAGTTACCCTGCTTATATGAGAGGTTTTCAAATACAGACACCCCCAGGAGCTCTCTATAGCATCTCTGGTGCTTTCAACAACCCTGGGACGCCCCTCACAGCTAGCTGTATGGAGAGGAGCCAACACAGAAGTGCACACTTGAGGGAATAATCTCTGAGCCCTTTGCAGTCATCTGACATCCCCTGAGGCTGACCATTACCTGCTCTAACAGCCTGCTGCCTCTGAAAGAGGTGCTTTTATCCCCCATCCCCTTCATTTTGTAGCTGGCCCTTCCTTCCGTTAATTTATTTGGCTCATTACCCAGGAAGATAGCTACTAGCTTTCTTTTTCTGAATTATTTTTCCTCTGTGCTAACAAGCTCTGTATGCTGATGGAGCTGGAAGATAGCACCAGGGGTGGGATGGGTGGTGAGGAGCAGAGCAGGCATGTACAAATAGACTCTTTGGCAGGGGCAATCCAGGGAGCAGGTCAGTGCCTGCAGTGGGATCGTACCAGTCTGGTGCCACTTGGGGCAGAGCTCAGCTGCCTCTCAGGAGCATCTACTTCCCTGGCACTTGTGCAGGCTCTTGGCAGACTCCAGGTGAGCCAGTCATGTACCTTAAGTGATCAGGCAATTTAATACCACAGAAAAGATGAGCAGCATTTTTTCCAACCTTCATCTCATGGGCTACCTAGCTGTGGGGCTGGAGAAGATCCAGGCCAACACAAGGGGGTAGGCAAGAAAAGCAACCACGTCTAATACTGTCTCCAGGAAGGCTCAACAACCACCTCACCTCTAGATTCTCCCAATCTTGCTCCCTAAGGGAAACCTACAACAGACTTTTAAAAGAAGAGCCTAAATCCTGGAATGTCTAATTCTACAGACTAACAATTGCACTCATTTTATGCATTTCACAGGGCAATTAAATCTGCTCCTCACACACTTCATGGTGCCATGGATGCTCTTACCACATCACTTCCCCCCTTGCCAGGTGGCCCCATTACCCCATCACTAGGAAGCATGGGGATGAATTTGTAAGGGCTGAAGAATGAAATTTATCACGGAGCAGTTGTCCCCACCCAGGCTGCTCTGGAGCTTTGCTCAGGGCTGAAGAGACAGCTGGGGAAATGTAGTCTTTCTGTAGTAAGCAGATTGCTTGATGTGCTGTGGGAGCAGTGCCTTTCCAGCAAACCTTATCTCTGTGTGTGTAATTATATAGTGTTCAAAGAAGAGCATCAGATGATGCAGAAAGTAGAGTCTGCTAATGAGAATGGGTCGAATTGCAGAGCAGATGTGTGTTCGAGGTGGGGAGCCAGCTCCAAGTGCAGTCTTTAGGGGCAGAGTTGGCAGGGGGTGTACCTTGTTAGCATGGCTGGGTCAGGACCTTTGTTGGTGCAAGTATACTCTTTGGTCACCAAGTTTAGAAGAAAACAGCTATATGTTCAGTTGTTAATGTGATTAATACACTAGTTTAAGAGCACAGCTGTGGCTGGGTCCTGGCCTTGCTGCTATTGTGCACTGTTAGGCTGTAAACGGGCACAACTTTCTGAAGACATTTTTGCAAGTGCAGATGTGTACGTGACTCTTCCTCGGCACGCAGTTACAGGGAGGAGGGTTAATTTGTGCAGCCGTATGGAGGAAGTCTCTAATCCATGTATCATGTTTAGAACAGATTGACAAGAGCTATCAATTTAAATGTTGGTGATGCAACAAAAAGCTTTTTGTTTATGTCTGTAGGTATGAGAAATGTGTGCAACCATTCATAAGCTGTTCTTGTAGACAGAGTTTAAATATCAAACGCAGGCAGTCAAATACTGTGAGTCAGCATCTTCCACCTTCTTCCCAATCCATCTTCCAAATTAGGAGTCACTTAAAAAGAGTTTATTAAGAAACAGCACTGTGTTCTTATCTCAATTACCTTCTGATTTTGAACTCCTACACTTTACATTTTCACACTCCACTGCTTTCCTAAATGAACATGGTGATCGAGACTCAGAGCACTAAGACCCACTGGCTTCTATCTTGTAAATATATTTTAGGAAGTATCAGAGATCTTCTCTCCTTACCACCACCTCACCCCAGTACTGTGTGCCTCCTCATCCCAGCAGTGATGTCAGTGTGGCTTCATGTCCCGTGCCTGAGAAAACCATGATAACCAAGTTCTCTCCCATGGCCAGCCAAAAGACCTGCATGACACTGATGAGAGGGTGTTAGTGTTGGTGCAGGCACAAATGGCATTTGCCATCTGGAAGCAGAAAGTCTTAGTTCTCAGGTGGAAGAGAGCCAAGGGGATGAGTTGAACAGAAGAGAAATGCTTGGTTATAGGTAGATGGTCCTCAAAGGGAATAAAATATGGTAGGATTAAGCCAGAGGTAAAGGATTCATGGAAGATCTGGCATGGAGGGGACTGGTGGGACAGTTCTGTAACTTTTATTATTGCCTCTGCCCAGAATCTGCTGTGCCAACATGATGCTGAATCTCATCATCTGAGCTGCCACATCATCCCAAAGCTCTTCTAACTCAAGAGGGCTGTTCAGGCAGGGGACATGAGAAAACCCGTGTCCTTGCTCCTCCATAGGTGTCCCCAGTGCCAGAGGTGATCTCCCTCCAGGGCTCAGAGTGTGATTCAGGGGAGTGCACTTAGCAGGTGCTAGCCCCAGGGGTGTGCTTGGTCTCATCCCACCTCTGAAATGACATTTTGGATGCCTTAGGCTTGGTGCAGCTGCTGCAGGTGCTGAATGTGACCCGTGCTGAATGTGTCCCAGCACTGAGCTCTTTATTGTGCAGCAAGAGCAGGAGGGAGACAACTGCTCGCAGCAGAGGCTGCCCTGGGGACATGGTGGTCTCCCCTCTTCCTGCCTTCTGCTGCTTCATGGGAGGCACACACCATGGCTGTGATGTTAGGCAGGAGGAGCACCTCTGAAGTGTAGTGCCATAACAGGAGAGTGACCCATGTGTGAAGCCATGGGAACAGGAACCTGATTGTCCCAGGTCACCTGTCTCCTGGGCACGGCGCTGCAGGGACTGGGGACCACCACTGGCTCTGTCACGAGGTGCAGGACCATGTAGTGCAGGAGGTGACACAGTTGTCACCCTGGAGGCAGGGAGGGCAAGGAAGGCCACTTCTCAGGGCATTTTGGCTGCTGAAGCAGCAGGGAAAGATGCCAGTGCCAGGAGTAGCAGCTTTGTCCCATCCTCATTCCTGCTGAGGGCTTAAAATAGACCCGTGGTGCTGAGGGGAGAGAGGATGACAGGTGCATCAGGTGGGGTGAGGATGGGTGTTGTGTCCGATGTGGTCTCTTCAGCCTCGCTGTCCATGTCCTCCAAGCTCTCACTGACAGAGGGGATGATCTGCACCACCTTCTCCTGGAAATGCACTTGCTTGCGTGGGCCTGGCAGGGCTGCTGGTTCAGTGGGATCTGCTGGGGCTGGGCTCCTGTCTTTGCTGCCCTTCAGGATGCTCTTCATGTGGCCCAGCAGTGAATGGTGTTGCTCCATCTGGGCCCCATGGAAGGTGTAGGTCTGCTCTGTGTCACCAGCAATGGTTGAGGATGCAGCGGTGGCTGAAGGGTCTGCATATTGGCCTGCCTCGGGATGCGTCTCTTTGTTCCCTGGGCTCTTCCTTCTCTTGCTCAGCAGGAAGTAGGCCAGGGCAGTGAGCACCAGCATGGACCCTGGGGAGAAGACTATGTTGGCTGAGGGCCGGGGCAAGGTGAAGCTCTTGGTCTAGCTAGCTCTGCACCACCTGCAACTGGACCAGCACCTTGCACATCCCCACCCTCTCTGACACTCAAAAGACTATGCTTCTCTTCTACCTGTGCTACTCCCCACCCCAGCATGGGATCCTCACCAGGGATGGTGACGTGCCAGATGAGGACTGGATGCAGGAAGCAAGCCACTGAGAGAAGTGTGTATCCCAGGAATTTCTGGAAGCTCCCTGGGCGTCTAGATCGCTTCCAGCAGGAGTGTGCCAGGGAGTCAGGCTCATATCTGGGGAGAGAAACACAGCTCCTTGTGTGATGGGGCAGATGGCACATGGCAAGAAGAATTGGACCTAACCATCCCCCGTCTAGACGTGCAGATCCTCCCTCTGGTTTTCCAGGAAACCATTATGTTGGTCAGGGAAGGTAAGCAAAGCCTGAGCCTCTCCCATAGGCAGAAGAGGCCAGGGGTTACATCTGCCAGATTTCAGCATCTCAGGCCATCTCTCCTTGGTGTTTGCCCACATGGCTACTAGTTGAATGCCCACTAGCTGGACTAAGGTGTTGCCTCTAAGATATCAGGGCTTTTGAGTTTATGCTAAAAGACAGCAAAAGTGCTCAGCCTCTGAGAAGTACATAAGGATTTTCTACATTTTAACTTGAACTTCTGCACTGTCTCTGGGAATGGGTTGCAGCTCTCCCTGGGAATCTGCCTCTTCCCTCAGTCCCATTTCCTTGCAGGACTTCCTACTGTGTGTTAAGCAGATGCCAAATACCAGGGTTTGTTGTGTTGATGCTCATCAAATTATGGCACAAGCCTGGCTTAAACCACAAGTTTAATTGACTGTGGGCATGGCCCCAGACATGGCCCCACTTACCCCCCCCCCGCCTGACTGGACTTGCCATGGCATTAGGGACAGGACCTTTGGTTTGGCACTTGCAGCTCAGCTAAGTCTGGTGTTGCCTGTAAGGTGCAAGTTGCCTCAGGAGGTCCCACCAAGGCTGGAGAAGACTGGACAGGGTCTACTCACGTGAAGCACATCTCCAGGAACAAACTGATAAAGAAGAAGCCTTCACAGACAGTAACTGCAACCCCTGAAAAACTGAAAGGTGGAGCTGTCAGGGGGGGCAGGGCTAGGCTTGAGTATGCTCTCCAGTTGGCGGAAGGGGCAAAGAGGACCAGGATTTACTATCCAGTTCAAAACAAAGTCTGTGTGCTGGGGTCTGAGCACCCTCTGCTCAGCTGGTTTGTGGAGGAGAGCTCAAAGCCCTTCTGTACCCAGGGGGTCAATTTGCAGGCAGTGTGACTTCTGGCTTGAGTCTGTAGTAGCATGGATGATGCTGTAGCATCAGTTTTTCTAACAGAAATAGCTTACTTTTCTGAAATTTGGAGACCTGAATTCCCCAAAGCCTCGGATACTGCTCCCTGCTCTGTTGTAATCTAGTCTGGTATGAAATATGGTGGAGGGGTCGAATGAGTCACCCCTGCCAGCTCTGACAGGAAGGACAAAAATACTCACAGAAGATAGAAAGCCAGGCTTTTGAACTGTCCTCGCTGCAGAGTTTCTACGCCCACACCGATCAGCACTAAAAAGAGAAGGTAGGAAAGACGCTGACTACAGGGTTGATTCCTGACTCTCTGGTGCTCTGTGAGCTCCCAGGATCAATGCCCCAGCTTCCCCAGGGGCTGATGAGGCTGCTCCTCCCATGCTGTGCAGCACATTGTGATTCTTGCTGACAAGGCAGCCCAGGGTGGTCAGAGCTGAATGCTGTCCTCGACATACAGCCCAGAAACCCATCCCAGCTGCATCGCTATCACAGCAGCCTTGAGAGGTGCTCTGGGGATACCAGATCACCTTGGACAGCTGTGGGAGCTGAGCACCAGTGTCCTGTGTCCCTTCCACCCCCTGCCATGCTTCCCCATCACAGCTGCCACACGGACTTCCCTCCCAGTTCTCCGTCCTCTGCCACCTTGGACCTCTCTGCCATGTCCCCTCACTCCCCTGCTCTCCCTGCTTGCCCAAGCCTGCTGCACTCAACATGCAGCTGCAGGGCAGCAGCAGTGTACAGGAACCACACCAGCTGCCTTCCCAAAGGGCCGTAGCCATGGCATCAAGATCCTTTGCTAGCCAAACAGGAAAACATATAACTGGAGCAGGCAGATTAAAACCAGGGAATGAACATTCCCTCAGTGCCCTGGGCCAGCACAGCACACTGGGGAGTCAGTTTAAGGAGGATTAAGAGTATTAGCAAGGGTAAAATCTTCACTGGACTGGCTGTTGGGGGCAAATAGCTTCAGGAATGGAAAATTTCCTTCAACATGCTTCAGTTTCCCAAAAGACTATTTCCAACATGGAGTGGAAATGAAGTGCCTCACACTAGCTGCAGCAAGCTGGTTGGTATGTGATCAGTCATAGCACACAAGTTCCAGCAGCATGGAGCTGAGCAGAGCCTGGGTTTCATGGCCAAGACATTGCTCTAGGCAATCACTGCACTCCTGTGCCCACCTGATGTCTCCACATTTTCCTGCCTTGCACTGGTGCTCAGGAAGTTCATTGCTGGTCATGCTCAAGGCACACTGTCTAAGGATTGGGGTGCCAGTTGGCTTCCTTTCTCTGAGCTGTGGTGTACCCCAGCTGGAGAAGGGAACCAGGCTCCCAAACAGGGATGCAGACCAGTGTCCATGACGCCTGTGAGGTGGGTCAATGCTGACGTCTGTGCCTGAGCACGCAGCTCTTCCACCTGGGCTGAAAAAAGGCACTCTGTGTCACCTGCAGACATGGCCCCTGTCACCTAGGTGAAGGCATGGGACCCATCTAATACCTCTCCAGCCCTGAGCAGAGGCACAGGGAAATCAGTCTCATCAAAGGGCTGTGAAGCTGTGTGAGCTGTGTAATCCTACATGCAAAGTATTGTCCTTTACTATCTTGTGACTGAGAAGCCTTCTTTACACCCTTTCTTACAGATGTAGAATTTGTTCATTCATTCATTCCTTTCCTATGGATGAATGCAGAATTCAACAGCTTGGCTGTTATGATCGAGTCTCTGCTCTGGATGGGGAGGTTTCCTCATTTTGCACAGCTTCTGCTTTACCCACAAAGTTGTTTGGATGAACAACCTGAAAAAAGCCAAGGGCTTTTTCTGATGTGTTTGTTTGGACCAGTTGCTGCCTTGATTTGGATCTTATCCAAACCATGTGGCTGAAGGCACATGATTAGGAATTAAATGGTTGAAAGCATAAGAATTAAGAATTAAGTAAGGACTCCTAGATGTAGAAATCACAAGGCCTAAAATCTCTGAGCTACAGAGTTACCCCAAACACTGCAGTGAATCGCAGAGCTGTTTGGTCACTCTCTGCTAACTTGCCATGAGGGTCTGCTGGTGGCAGGGCTGTCTGATTTCTCACACATAAGAAACCCTGAAACCCCGCCATTGCAGATAGCCATGACCTCCAAGATGTTGGGGGAAGGGAGGTTTATATTGTGTGGGTAACCTTCTGTGTTTGCAAGCAGCTTATGGAGCTGGCCAAGCCTTCTCAGAATCAATTAGTGAGGCTGATGCACTCTACTCTCCCTTTCATTCCTTTTTTTTTTTCCAAATAAACCCCGTGGGATTCTCTTCTGCATGGTTTCCATTTCATGCACAAACCTCACACACCTCATCAGGCACTAAACAACGCATTAAGCTGTTTTCTTACTCCACTGGGACACACAGAGGAGTAAAACACAGGCACCTCTCATTCTTCACTGACTTTTTGGAAAAGACAGGTGATACTGGGAATGCATCAGAGCTATGGAAAAGTGGAGATCAGTATTGCAGATGTCTATGCACTGTGATGCTCAGCTTAGAGACAACCGCACTACTCATTCCAAGAAGAACTACAGAAAGAGGTTCAGATGCAAAAAGATGACAAGAAAACCAGGAGAGAGAGACATTATATTCCACTATGACACTTCCAAATTGTAAGCTTCCTTCAATTTTGCTGGTCTAAGTTTAGTTTTCCCATAGCAACAAGCTCATGTTTTCTCCCAGGAAGGTCTCTGCTGTGAGTTTCCTTGGAGCTTTAACAGAGAATATGACTAGCATGGGGCTCACGTGGGCCTGAGGTGGATGAGGATGGAGGAAGGAAAAGAGCAGCATTTGCTGGTTAAAGTTGTGTCCCAGGTCGTACCTGCTGCAGTCTCATCATCATATGCACTTATCTACTGTGAGTTTGTATAAACTCTGAGACTCAAATCTCTGCCTCTTATCAGTCATTTAAAGCGCATTCCAGAGCACAGCCTACAGCTTCCCAGCTGAGCTTTGGGTGTCACTGAGGACCCATGCTTTCTTCAGCTGACCTGTGTGATCTTTACTTTGCCCCTCACTTGAACAAAGAGTCTCTCATGGCTGTCTGCAGTTGATAAAGGAAACGCAAAGGTATGAGAGCCTGCTGCAACCTATTCTGCAATGTCTGACTCTGAAATTCCCAAAGGCCTGACACAGGAATCACAGGTACCACCTCAAGTCACCTCTCACCAGGGACTTCTGGTTGGTATCTCCAGCCATTAGGCAAATCAGGCACTTTGATCTCTGTTTTACTGATGGGGAAACTGAGGCAGACAGAGCTGTTTATCCTGTCACATAACAGTGAGTCAGCAGCAGTGCCAGAGTGAACCCGAGGCCTTTGCTTTAGCTGTTTCCCCATGTCCCATCCAGAGATATGCCCCATGTGAGGGGATCATCCACCACAGTTGAGTCCTTCAGGGTTAGACACTGTGCATGACACATCCAGCTCAAAACACCTGTGTCTCACCTGAAACCAACTTCTTGGATGTGTCATCAAACCCAGAGGACACTGGTCCCAAGCAGCTCCAGGCAGTGGGTGAGAGGATGTAACTAGCCAGGTGGGTGAATTTATGATGCAGTGAATTTATGACTGCAGTTATAACCTGAACTGCTTCCTGAGCCTGCTTCCTGGTGGGTTGCTAGAGAGGTAAAGCAGCACTCTGGCAGTAAGTGTATTGTAATGGCTGGGATCTCTCCATCCTGCCTGGCACAGGACATCTCACTGTGCACAACACAAGGTGCTCCTCCTTTTTCACATCCCACAGAGCAGCCTGGCAGTTTTGCACAGCCATGAGCATTTTGCTTTTCAGTCTCATTCACATCTTGCCTGTGCCCATGTCTGTTTTACAAAAACATAATGTAGTTTTCCTTTCTAGTTGTGCTTTAGCCTGTCCTCTGCCATACTGGGTGCTGGCTCTCACTGTGTCTCCCACAGCATTTGGAAAGAGCACCCAGCACACCCCCTTCCTGAATCCCAAAGCAAAAGTGATCAAGTTTCCTTGTCCCCCTCATAGTATGGGACAGTGGCTGCTCCTGACCAGAGGCAGGGACACAGTTCAGGGGTCCCCACACCCACTCAGCACCTTTTAATGCCTAAGAAAGAGAGAGCTCGCTCTTACCTGCTGCAGTGGAGATGCCCAGCAGCCGGCAGGTGTACTCCAGGGCACTCCAAAACACCTTGTGCCGCATGGCAAAGAGATGGAGACTGTGGTGCCAACCAGGCAGAATGTCCTCTTCAAGGCTCCTGCCTCACGCGTACCCAGCAGCTCCCAGCCACAGGCGAAGCCTCCGACATCCAGGACCAAGTGACCTTCCTGAAGGAAAGGGCAGTGCATGCAGGACTGGCCACCTCCACGAGGCCTCCCAGGGGAGGGTGGTCGGAGGGGGAGCTGCCTCCACAGGGAACCGGCCAGCACTGCTTCCCGCTGCTCCTGCGTGGATGCCGACACTCGGCCTTTCCTGCTGCTTGCTCTCGTTGCTGGCCTGGCGGTGATTAATGATTGGTAAAGGGGGGCGTGTGTGCAGCTTTGGGTGCATTTGCACCAGGGCGCACCACGGCCTTTCCTGCTCCCAAGGAGGAGGCTCTGGAAGCCCAAGCTGATTAAATGCATGTGAAGTCATTAGTGCTGTGCAGCTCCCGGCAGGTTAACCGTTTGTGAGGATGGCAATGTTTGCTCCTGACAAGAGCACTACGCTGCTGGCGAGCTGCAAGGCTCCCAGGGTACCCCATTCCTGCTGCCTCCTGCTGCTGACCCCCGCCATGCCTGCTGCCACTGTGCTGGGCTTGCCAGGCTCTGACTAGTACGGCTCAGGCAGTGTTCAGGATGATGTGCGACCACAGCAACAAGGAGCTTAGGTCTGTTCCCAAGGGTTCTACAGATCCAGGCCAACCATAGCAGGGAAAATGTGTATTTCTCTCCTTGGGAGCCCTAGTGAGAAGTATTTCCGTGTTGTAGTCACCAGGGCCACTTGAATGGCACCAGGGTTGCCCAACTGTTCTGACACATGGAACAGGGTGTATAGGTACTCTGACCCCTTTGGATTCGGTAATCTGGTTAGGGGCCTTCAGCTTGTCCCTGCAGGATGCACAGTCTCTCAAGAGGGCATCCTTAGGCATGTCTGAAAGCCATAACAGGACAGCATGGGCCTCCTCTGGACACCAGTCCCACATTCCTGTGTGCTTGAACATGGTGCATCTCACTGTGGCTCACCATGGATCCCCATGCTGCTGTTGAGGGAAGAGGCAGTGTGGCAGCATCATCTGGTCATAGCAGTCTTGGCGCAAGGGTCGTGTGAGCAAGAGCACAATCCCGGTGGGCAGAGCAGATGGCTGTTGCCTGCAGGGTTCACAGGTCAGTGAGCTCACCTTGTGCTGCAGCTGCCATTGGTGAGCAGCTGAGGCCCCTGCCCCTTGCTGTGCTTGCTGTGAAGCAGCAGTGGTGACGGCGAGGGCCTGGGTGACTCACATTCAGCTCATGTACAGGCAGCCCCACGGGGACATGGCAACCGGCTGAGCCTGTCTCCAGTGATCCCTTCTCCCCTGCCTGAGACCACACTGAGCCTGGCTGGTACATGTTGTACTGATGTGTACCGGGTGTAGAGACGACTTTGTTCAAGGTCACAGCAGCAGCTTTTCGTCCAATGGATCTTGGTCTGTATTTCAGACTGGGATTTTCCTGGGACAGCCAAATGCCTAAACTCATGAATGGGTCCCTAACTCCTGTAAATAACTGCAGATAGGAGTTTTCTAAACACGTACAAGGTGGTGGGTGGCAGGGATTTTGCCACAGGCAATGCTGATGGTTTGGGGCTGATCATTTTCCACGTGAACAGTGGAAAAGCCCACTGGACAAGAGCCTCCCGAGCATCCTGAGGGGCAGTGCTGAATGGTGCACATCCAAAGTGTATCTTTGCCATGCAGCTCTGCCTTTGGGTGTTCCCATTTCCTCTTGTCCTCCCACACTGAGGTGGGTGCTGGAAGGAACTGCTGCTTTTCCACAACTGATGACTCAGCGGTGTGTCAAAACTTCCTATTCAAGAGAGACACAAAGAGGGAAACAGAGGCATACCAGTGGGGAAGGGCACATGAAGGCTGGGAAAGAGCCCAGCCTGGGTGATCCCTGTGCCCTCACACGGAGCACTGCTGTAGGCTTCAGGAGTACCCTCCATTTCCGGAAACAAAATCACTGGCTTGAGAGCCCTGAGGTTGTACAAACAGTCTGGATGTTTTTTTTTAACCAGCTATCCTGATTTGCTTTTTTTTTTTTTTTTTAAAATATTGATATATTGAATTTCAGGTGTTGCTTTACAAACATGAAAGCTAGAAGGCTACTTGAAAAGCAAATAGATGAAAGGAAAGCATAGAGTCTTTCAGAATCCCATAGAGCTGTGAGCTTAGGCTTGGAGAAAAGCAGCAAACACCACAGTGCAACCCTGAGCACTGTCAGCACCCACCCTTCAGCAGCACCCAGCACCTCTCAATGCAGCAAGCCGCTACCTCCCTCTGTGGCAGCATTCCCTGTTGCCAAAATGGGCAGTGCAGCACACTGGGCTGTTACTCTGGAGCTCTTATTAAACCATACTGAGCCCTGGCCCAGAAACTAAATGACTTTGTCTAGGTGCCCTTGACAGCAATGTTTCCTTTCTGAAAAGCAACAAGCCCCAGGGTTCAAAATAAATGTGAATTTATGGGGAGGTGGGGGTAGTGGTGATGAAGGAATGGAATCTATTTGGGAAAGGCAGATTAATAGTTAACAATTTAAACCTCCTGTGTACCTCTCATGTTCCCTTACCTATTGTCCAACCTCCATCCTCTTAGTGAGACTACATCAGCCTTCCTGAGGGTCCTTGTCCCCTGCCTGGGGAGGTCTGTGGTAACTTAGTCTTCTCCATTCACTGTTCATTGGTGCTGTAGTGCTTCTCTCATGCCAGTGCCCAGGAGGGGAGCATGGAATGAGCAGGACTGGTATCCTCAGGCTTGCTTTGTACCAACATGCCTTTAGCAGCTTCTTTCTTCCTTACAGGACTTTTTTGGTGAGTACTCCTACAAAGCAACCTCATATGAACCTGATTTTTCATGGTAGAGGTGTGCCTTCTCGTTCTGTCTCTATTCCAGTGGGGAGATGGTATCCTCAATGAAACTGTGCCATTTGCCTGTGCTTTGGTGAGGTTTTTAGGAATGAGTTTATGCAATTGGAAGAAGACGGAGAACTTACAAACTCAGAGGAGTTTAATAGCCTGTAACCAGCGCTGCAAAACCTATGCAGCAGCACAGCCTGTTCTGTAAAAGCAGTGGTCCCCATTACACATTAAGCTACTTCTCTTGCACGGAGACTTGCCATTTGCACTTTGGCTGCCAGCCAGGATTCACATTTACAGGCTGCTTCCAGTGATATATGGGTTGGTTTGAGAGGATTTAGTACCAGTGTTAGGGTTTCATTGTGATGTTAGTCCTCATCCTCTCTCCTTCCTTGCACTTTACTCAAGGTATTTTGCAGTGGCACAGCCCTTGGGCCCGTTCTTGTGTGACCAAAGCAACAGTGCAGTTTCTGTGCTGAGCAGCCATTGTTGGAAAGCTGTGGTGAGCAACATGCACCTTGTGCCTGGCCTCTGCAGAGAGTGGAGATTCCCCTCACAGGGTGTAGGGCACCACAAACCAGGCTCTGGCAGAAACCTATGAGTCCATGCTTGACTTAGCTATTCTCACTCCCTGCCTATCCTGTAAAAGCAGCTCCCAAACTGCCTTGCACAATGCTCCAGAAATTTGTTTGTGTTGCTTCCCCCACTTCTTTCTCTAAGCCCTCAGCTATAACCACTATGTCAAGCAGCCTTGCTTGGCAGCCTTGGTGCCCTCTCTGAGCAGTAGCAGCAGAGGTGGGATCTCTTTCCACGATCTGAGACAGACTGACACCAATGCTCTCCCTTGGCTGCCAAAGGACAGTCAGTCAGCAGGTCCAGAGCCTTTGCTGTGGTGCCATATGCTGCTTCCCTGGGTCCTTCTTACACCAGGTCACCTGTCATGGAAAGGAAATGGATTTTCATGGCAGCTGGCTGATGGTAGATGGACCCAGTCGTTTAGAAGCACCAATAAATGGCAGCTGCGGGTTCACTGGGTACCAGCTCCTTCCAGTTAGCAGGAGTTTCACTCTGCCTTGTACTGTCAGTGGTTCAAACCAGTCAGAATGAACTGTTTGGACCAAGCACCTCCTGAGGTAGCTTGGCAAGACCTAGAATCACAGAATCATAGAATAGTTAGGGTTGGAAAGGACCTTAAGATCATCTAGTTCCAACCCCCCTGCCATGGGCAAGGACACCTCGCTCTAAACCATATCACCCAAGGCCTCATCCAACCTGGCCTAGAACAGTGCGAGGGATGGAGCATTCACAACCTCCCTGGGCAACCCATTCCAATGCCTCACCACCCTAACAGGAAATAATTTCCTCCTTATATCCAATCTAAACTTCCCCTGTTTAAGTTTTAACCCATTACCCCTTGTCCTACCACTACAGTTCCTAATGAAGAGTCCTTCCCCAGCATCCCTATATGCCCCCTTCAGATACTGGAAGGCTGACATGACAACCCTCCTGGTTTTAAACCTACAGCTTGAAACCCTTTTAGACAACATAGTAAATAAAGTGATGCATCCTGCTGTGCTTGTTTGCTTTGCGGTCTCTTGGAGTCCATCCCCAGCATCCCTATAGGCCCCCTTCAGATACTGGAAGGCTGCTATGAGGTCTCCACGTAGCCTTCTCTTCTCCAGGCTGAACAGCCCCAACTTTCTCAGCCGATCTTCATACGGGAGGTGCTCCAGTCCCCTGATCATCCTCGTGGCCCTTCTATGGACTTTGTTCCAACAGTTCCATGCTCTTTTTATGTCGAGGACACCAGAACTGTACACAATACTCCAAGTGAGGTCTCACAGGAGCAGCGTAAAGGGGCAGGATCACCTCCTTTGACCTGCTGGTCACGCTCCTTTTGATGCAGCCCAGGATACGGTTGGCTTTCTGGGCTGCAAGCACACACTGAAGCCGGCTCATGTTCATTTTCTCATCGACCAGCACCCCCAAGTCCTTCTTCGCAGGGTTGCTCTGAATCTCTTCTCTCCTTTGCTGCGGTAGGGAAAAAAACATGGCACTACGGTGCCTGAAGCCACATGAACAGCAGAGCTGCAGAGAAAACCTTAAGTGTGCCCCCTCTTGCTCTGCTGTAACCATTAACTCATGCGTTGTGGAGACTTAAGACCTGGAGCAGCACCACAAGCCATGCTGGGGATGCCCGGCAGGGGACAGCAGGATCCCACCACTGCACCACCAGCCCACTGCGCCCTGCAAAAGGCAGGCTGCAGGCAGCCCTCTGCAAGGCGACGGTGAAAAGGCACCATGGAGTTTTACTGTCTGAACAAGAAAAACATGATAGACACCACATGGATCTGAAGGGGGCCGGGAGAGCCCAGAGCTGCAGTGAACATGAATCAATAACTGGCCTGTTTTGCTTTATGCT